GAGAGTGCAAGTGTTTCAGATACCTTATTTTTTCATTACTGTTTCCATTCCATTAATTTTGAATTAATTAATTAATTTTTAAAGGACTGAATCCTTTATTTACGGGGCAAAGAGGAAAAATGAAGTCTTTCTGCTTCTGATGTTTTTTTGGAAGAACGTTGCATTGTACATAGGATACAGATAGGGAAACTGATATTTTTATTTATGGAACAACTTCATCCAATTTGTGAATGGTGCAAATATTGGTGTACTATAGGTGGAATTTTATGTACCAGAAACAAAAGAAACTTGCAAAAGCAGACCTTCCACCATTCCTCCAGTAGGCCCATGTGTCCCCTGAAAAGCAGATGCTGAGAGCTGGAACCCTTGTGGACACACACATCCAGTGAGACTGGGGAACTGGATGAAATCAGTACAGTGGTATCAGGAAGTCAGGCAAGATCTGCTTCAATGGATCTTTTGAGCTTGCAGTTGATAAAATTGAACCAATTAGTGACAAGGGACAAGACATTCCATGAAACTTCCTACACAACAACAACCTGTTACATCCTGCTGCAGTAGATCTACATGTCAAAACCTGTTTTGTGGACATAAAGTACTTTACTGGATTTGGGATATAATTTATAATTCAGAGATTGAAATTTATCTTTCTTCACCCATGTCTTTGGTCTCAGCCCTTGTTCATTTTGCAAACAGTTTTTAATAGTGACAATGATATTTATATCGCTACTTTTATTGGTCATTTGCTCATCCTTGAAACACAGATGGCTAGATCAATATCATGTCTTTTTAAGAAGTCAGATTTTACTAACTGTCACAGAATCAGATCATGCATAATTGTTAGAATTTCTTTACATCTTAAATCAATTCTTATTTATGTCTGAAATAAAATTATATCTGAAAAATATTGACTGTTAACTTTCAATATTACTGTAATCCCATTTTCTGATTTACATTCTATGCTTCCCATATTTTTATGTAGCCCAGTTTATCTGCCTTGGAGAGCAATCCTAAGGAGGTCTACTGAGAACTGTACTGAGGCATATTTGATGTGGCTTACTCCCAGGAGAGTGTCCTTAAGATTGCATTGTTCATCATAGTGGCTGAAGTAGTTTGGGTATTTACTTAATGAGGCAAGGCATGTCTAATTTTGCTTCTGAGATTATACTCTTGTCTCTTCCACTTTGGTGTAGTGGTTACAAGTCAGTTTGGTGCAGTGGTTAGGAGCGCGGACTCTAATCTGGGAGAACCAGGTTTGATTCCCCATGTCCCCACAAGCAGCTGCTGTTGTGACCTTGGGTCAGTCTCAAGTTCTCTCAGAGCTGTTCTGTCAAGAGCAGTTTCTGTCAAGAGCTCTCTCAGCCCCACCTACCTCACAGGGTGTCTGTTGTGGGGAGGGGAAGGGAAAGGAGACTGTAAGCCGCTCTGAGACTCCTTTGGGTAGTGATGGGTGGGGTATAAATCCAATCTCCTCTTCTTCTCCATATTCACTATAAAAATTTGGCAGTATAGGCTTGGATGGATGGATCTTCTTGTTTCCCTGTGCTTGAACGAGTCCTACAGAGTACCAGTTCCTAGAGGTTAGTGGCTGTCTCTAGAGCTGTGTAACTGTCATTGAATAACACAACACTGTTTTGCTATGGGCAGCCCTCAGGCCACTTCATCTGTTGTCCCTGCTTCCTTAGGAAGTTCCACCTCATGCTTTGGGAACCATATTCCTAGATTCCCCTTCCCCTGATAAATGCCATAACAAAAGTGACCTCATGCGGGATATTTATTTGTTTGAAATATTACATTCTGTTTTTCGGTTGAGAGAATTTCCCAGGCAACTGTTAAATGAGATACACTGTAATAATATCATCCGAAAGATAAAAACTCAATAATTATCAGTAAAATACTATAGTGGGTAGAGTGCTTTGATTTACCCAGGGGTCATTTCATAGAAAAAGAGCTAGGGGGACTCATTAGCATAACTCATTAGCATATGCCACACACCCTGACATCACCGGAAGTGTGTCCTCCCCATAGCCGGCGGCGACCTCCAGCGGGCACCAGCAGGGAGCTCCAGGCCCCGCCCTCCCGCACCTCACCCGGGGGGATGGCGTTCCCCCGCGTCCCCCCCCAAATGACCCCATTTACCACTATGAAATTTAGAATGAAAACAGATGTAATATGAGCTGTTCCAGGAGCTGCCAGCTAGTCGTGTCTCCTGTTTAGCATTGCCGGCTCTGGCTTGGGAAATTCCTGGAGATTTGGGGACAGTAGCTGGAGATGGCAGAGTGTGAAGAGGTATGTGGTGCCCTTGGAAGTTGCCATTTCCTCCAGGGGAACTGAGTTCTGTAGTCTGGAAATGAGTTGCAATTCCAGGAGAATGCCCAGTCCTGTCTTGAGGTTGACAAAATTACTCCTGCTACAGTTTGTGGGGCTTTAGTTTTTATAGAGCTTGTGCGTCCAAGAGTGCTTCCAAAGTATAGTTTGCTTCCAAATTATCATCATCACTTTGTAAATGTTACATCTGTCACCATACTGAGGGTTTAAATCTATGTTCTTGAGGAGGTTTTGGTCAAATTACTGCTTAGAGCCTATCCCTCCTTTCAGTGTTATTATCAAGATAAATTAGATCAGAACTGCACAGCACTTTGTAAACTGAAAGATGCAACAAAAGTTATTAACAGTCTTTGGCCTTTGACATCCCAGTTAATATAACCATGTTAACGACAGGCAGCCAGGTAGTGTATGAAAGTGAAGTAACTTCAAATGCTACACTTTTCCTACATAGAAATGTGTGCTAAATGGGATATTGCACATATATATTATAATTTGAAATAAGATGTTTATAATTTCCCCAATCAACGTACCTGACAATGAAAATTACACTCATGCTACCCTTTACCTTATCCAGTATACTTACATGAAATAAGAAGTATCACAAATTTCTTGATATTTGGATGCCAAACAGTATCCAAATTACAGTTCTACATTGTACTACAGCATCAGTGCATTGTTATGCATGTTCTCTCTTTCATAATTTTGACCAATCACTTGCTACTGGTACTCATATTTCACAGTGAAGCTGACTTGTTTGGTAGTAAGTAAGCAATAACACCAAACTTAAAAGAGCATCTCATATATAATTGGACTGGTAATAAGCACCATCTTTGTAGGAGGTCTTTAAGCAATGGAATTTTTAGTGCATTTGTCTAAATTGTCTCTAATCAGCATATATTTAACATTCTCTGCAAGGAAAGATGTCTTGAAAAATCAGTGAACTGGTTTTTCTGTCAATTATACTAAATTAAATAAAACTTTTTGGTTTGTGTTGGCAGAAATCTCATTCCATTCTTTAAAAAATGATAATAAGTTGCAAGTGGTGTCAGATATGAACTGCAAACAAGCGTTTTCCCCTCAGTATTTATTAATAAAGGAATAACAAACTTTTAAAGAAAAACATTGAGTAAGTATTTGAGCCAATCTGCATATTATACTTACTACTATTACTCTACCTGGGGCAGTGTATGCTAAGGTTGCTCATCATGTAATTAACCTTATTAGGGCAAATAATGTTATGAACAGCTTCTAGATATTACACTCCTAGTATGGAAATACCCACGTACATTTTCTTGATGTAGAAAAGATCAGGCTAGATTGATCTCATCTGATCTGGGTAGCTTAGCAGGATCAGCCCGGGTTAGTATTTGGATGGGAGACCACTAAGGAGTCTAGGGTTGCTATGCAGAGATAGGCAAAGACAAGCCTCCTCTGAATAACTCTTGCCTTGACATCTCTATGGGGTCACCATAAACTGGCTGCAATTTGGTGGCCAAAAAAATAGCCCTTGTACTCTGTAAGGAGAGATAGTAGAAAGAACGTTACCCATTATTTATGTGGAGCAAGTCCTACTATCCTGATCCTGAAGTGGTTGTAAATCACTTCTTTCAGATAAAGAATGGATGGCTAAAATGCAATCATGAGGTAACTCTCCTCATAATCTCACTATCATGTGTTTGCTTTGCAGTCACCATAAAGTGGGATCCATTTAAAACTGGTTTGTTGGAATGGTTGTCGAAAACGTGGTATGCTACATTGGGCCATCATATAGGTGCTCAGGATGGGATATATACATTGTTAGGATAGTGGAATGTCACAAAAGAGGTTATTAAATTGGTGTCATAGGTAGAAACACAAATATTTATGATGGGGGTGCAAAGCGGCTTGAAAAAGTAAGGTATCATTTTAAAGGATTGTTGAGTCAGTGCTCAGCAGGCTTCAGTCTACAGAACAGTGTCACATGTGTCCCAGGACTAAGCCTACGGCCAGACCCCTCTAAAGGGGTTGCACTTTGAAACCTCCCGAAGTGAAGGATTTATAATCCTTTGGCTCTTCTACAAATCCTTGACTTGTCATCATAAGGTAAAGGTAAAGGTTCCCTTGCTCGAAAGCCAGTCGAATCTGACTCTAGGGTTGCAGTGCTCATCTCCGTTTCAAAGCCGAAGAGCCAACACTGTCCGAAGACGTTTCTGTGGTCATGTGGCCGGCATGACTAAACACCAAGGCGCACGGAACACTGTTACCTTCCCACTGAAGTGGTACCTATTTATCTACTTGCAATTTCTTGCTTTCGAACTGCTAGGTTGGCAGGACCTGGAACTAGAGATGGGAGCGCACTCCATCATGCGGCACCCGGGTCTTGAACTGCTGAACTACTGCCCTTCCACAGCCTGCAGTTCAGCGTCTTAACCACTTGAGCCACCGCAGCTCCATAAAGCAATCATAAAGTCATCATAAAGCAATCCCTAATTACAAGTCACAAAATGAAAACAGCATGTGTGGGTTGTTGTTTTTTTTAAAAAAAAAACACAATGAAAATAAGTGAACTATATATACCTTGTTCTGGAACTAGGCTTGCATAGCTCACTGAATGTTAAAGATATCCTGTTAACAATGCTTCTGACTGTCTCTATTTGGCATGTATTTGACAGTTGTTCTCTTTTGATTCATAGGTAGAGTGCAGATGTTGCCTCAAGCTGTCTGTCTCCTACATGGGCTGCTGGAAAATGGGCATGCTGTCTATGTTCATTGCAATGCAGGAGTTGGCAGGTCCACAGCTGCAGTTTGTGGCTGGTTAAAATATGTGTTGGGATGGAATTTGAGGAAAGTGCAGTATTTTGTGGCTTCCAGAAGAGCAGCTGTCTACATTGATGAAGAGGCTCTTGTACGTGCTGAGGAAGATTTCTTTCAGAAATTTGGACCTCTTCGCTCCTCATGCAAGCCTTAACAGGAAAAGAAAAAAAAAGGAAATCAGTAGAGGTGCTGTCAAACCCAAGCACTTGACAAATCATTGATCTGGCTCCCAAAGTGCCTGAAGAAAAGAATAAATCATTGTTACTCATAAGAACAAGAAGCATGATATACCATCTGAATGCATGCTTCACATTTTTATTTTTCCTGAAACAATTTAAGCACAGGGGCTTTAATTCAACTGTGTGTGTATGCAGAGCCAGGGCAATGCATGAGTGGGGAGTTCTCTCATTTGTTTGTGATACATGACTAGAATTTGATCTTACAACATATGTAATGATTTAGATTTTTAACTTCTAAAACTAGCTGCAGAATTTAAGTTTAATCTATGTATTTTAAGGGTGGAATTCTCAGTTGTGATTCTTGCTGTGTAATTGACATTTCAGACATTTCAAATTTTTATTAACGTGTTTTGAATTGTAGTGAATTGTTTTATGGTAGGGAATCATTTTCCTGCCAACCTAGCAGTTCGAAAGCAAGAAATTGCAAGTAGATAAATAGGTACCACTTCAGTGGGAAGGTAACAGCGTTCCGTGTGCCTTGGTGTTTAGTCATGCCGGCCACATGACCACGGAAATGTCTTCGGACAGCGCTAGCTCTTCGGCTTTGACACAGAGATGAACACTGCAACCCTAGAGTCGGATACGACTGGCTTTTGAGCAAGGGAACCTTTACCTTTAGGGAATCGTTTTGCTTCATAGGTTGAACTTGTACCTCAAAAACAGATACTTAGTTGATGATCCTGCCCTGGTAGTAGTGCTTGAGTGCTGAGTCACCTGTTAAGCTGCATGAATTTTAAGGAGGAGCCCTAAGCCTGCATTTTGATGACATGCAGCACCTTCACCTCAAGAGATCTTTTGTGCTCTTAGTAGGGCCATACTATGGGTAGAAACTTCTTTTTCCATGTGGATAGCATTGGCTAAATCAGACAAACCATCATAAGCATGAGGCATATACTCCCAAGGAGGTATAGATAACTGCAGTGGGAAGCTACATCAAAGAGAGGATAAAGGCACAAGAGAGAAAGACAAAGAGAAGACAATAAAGAGAGAAACTGATAGAAACAGACTGAAAAGAAAGAAAAGCAAGTTAATTCCAGAGTGGAATGAGGCCCCCCTGGGACTTGCTTCTGTGCTCTGGGGGCTGTCATTCCACTCCCAGACCACTTTATATGGTCCTGGGCACCATAATTCCAATCTGGGCCCCCTCATTCTAATCCTAAAGCCCCTTATCTGGGCCCGGAGATCATATTTTGTGAGCTGTAATATATTTCAAGGGAGCCTATGCAAGTCAATTGGTAATCCTGGCTCCCATTATATTCAGTGGGCCTTCAGGCATCTCCCATTGTTTCCAATGGTTTCCAATGGTTATCCCTGTGATTCATTTTGCTACATCCTACTATTATGCTCCATAGGGAACTTTTCGGGAGGGGGGAGCTGTTTTTCAACCAAATTACACCAAAATTGCAGCCGAGAGTGCTGTTAGAACCAAGCTGAAGAAGAAGAGTTGGTTTTTATACCCTGCTTTTCTCTGCCCTAAGGAATTACAAAGTGGCTTACAGTCTCCTTCCCTTCTTCTCCCCACAAGAGGCACCTTATGAAGTAGGTGGAGCTGAGAGAGTTCTGACAGAACTGTGACTGGCCCAAGGTCATGTGGAGGAATGGGGAATCAAGCATAGTTCTTCAGATTAGAGTCCGCTGCACTTAACCATTACACCACACTGGCTCTCAAACAAATTGGACCAAGAAGACGTATTTTCACATGCCCTGAACAAGCTGCCCTGGCTCTCTATTTATCAAACCACAGAAGAACAAAAGAGCTCTCCCCCCCAAAGGAGAGAGGGAAAGAACTGCTGAACTACTGACCTTCCACAGCCTGCAGTTCAGCATCTTAACCACTTGAGCCACCGCAGCTCCTAAGGAACTACAAAGTGGCTTACAGTCTCCTTCCCTTCTTCTCCCCTCAAGAGACACCTTATGAGGTAGGTGGAGCTGAGAGAGTTCTGACAGAACTGTGACTGGCCCAAGGTCATGTGGAGGAATGGGGAATCAAGCATAGTTCTTCAGATTAGAGTCCGCTGCACTTAACCATTACACCATACTGGCTCTCAAACAAATTGGACCAAGAAGACGTATTTTCACATGCCCTGAACAAGCTGCCCTGGCTCTCTATTTATCAAACCACAGAAGAACAAAA